ACACAAAAATCGAACCAATTTGTAAAGCCCTAGAAATTGATCGACAATAATGTGATCAAGCTATGATCTCGGTTGGTTTTAATGGTCTCGATTCTCTGTTCATGTATACACAATTGTTAAAGAAAGCACTTTTAGAAATCGAAGATGACGATAGAAAATTTCTAAAAGACCTCGCTGAATATTGTCGTGAACAGGATGATATTCTTGAAGATCAAATTAAACAAGTTGAAAATGAATATCGTAATCATACGCCAATATGGTGCTATACAGCTGAAACATTTATTTATCCTATGCTTAATCGTGGACTTCGACTTATGGATATTAATATTATACTCAAAATGGGCTTTTTTATTCGTCATTTACATCAACACATTCAAAATTTATATCATAAACAACAACCTGAAAACATGAACACAGCTACTCCGTTCAAAGTTTATCGTGATCAAGGTTTAGCATTAGAAGACTTTGAAAAAATGAAAAATAGCATAAATCAATTAATGTCTTTCAATAATTTTCTATCAACAAGTCTCAATCAGAATATTTCCTTTCAAAAATTTGCACGACCAGCAGCATTTAATGATCCCAATAAAGTTGGCATACTCTTCATTATGACTATTGATCCTGATGTATGTACAAAATCAAAAATTCCATTTGCTGATGTTAGTCAAGTTGGCTTTTTCGAAGGCCAAGAAGCCGAAATCCTTTTTACAACACATACAATATTTAGAATCGATAAAATTCAACGAGTTCATGACGATCATACTGGTCGTCTATGGGAAGTCAAGCTTACTCTTGTAGGTAATGATAATCACGAATTAAACAAACTTACAGCACACTTACGCCAAGAGTTCAATTGGACAACAGGATGGTCTCGACTTGGTCATATACTTCTTAAAGTGGGTGAGCCTGCAAAAGCAGAGCAACTCTATCAGATTCTCCTCGAAAAGGCATCTTCTGATAAAGAGAGATCGGATTACAGTCATCAACTTGATTGGGTGTATCGGAGTATGGGCGAGTACTCGAAAGCACTTTCATCGTACGAACGATCACTTGAAATCAGAAAAATAGCTCTCCCTCCGAATCATCCCGACTTGGCTACTTCCTACAACAACATCGGTATGGTGTATAATAAGATGGGCGAGCACTCGAAAGCACTTTCATTGTACGAAAGATCACTTGAAATCCGAAAAATAGCTCTCCCTCCAAATCATCCCGACTTGGCTGGTCCCTACAACAACATCGGTATGGTGTATAATAGAATGGGCGAGTACTCGAAAGCACTTTCATCGTATGAACGATCACTTGAAATCCGAAAAATAGCTCTCCCTCCAAATCATTCCAACTTGGCTATTTCCTATAATAACATCGGTTTGGTGTATTCTCACATGGGCGAGTACTCGAAAGCACTTTCAATGTACGAACGATCACTTGAAATCCTCAAAATAGCTCTCCCTCCGAATCATCCCGACTTGGCTTCTTCCTACAACAACATCGGTTCGGTGTATGATAACATGGGCGAGTATTCGAAAGCACTTCGATACTGCGAAAAAGCCCAAGAAATCTTCAAGAAATCTCTACCTTCAAATCATCCACATATTACACTTGTGAAAAGAAACATTGAAAATGTAAAAAAGAGAATGTAATGGATTTTTTAATCAAGAAAATAAATTCGCCTTCTCGAACACTTAACTCGCCTCACCACAGCAGGTGCAAAAATTTAGTGCACGCGCGACCAGGTATACCCTCCGTATCCTGTTGGGTTGTACAGTGGACAAAGCCGGCAATAGTTAGGCAAACATACATCTACAATATGTATGACTAGTACATCCATGATCATCATCTTCGCAAAGACGATGACGAGATGGATGCTTCTAACATAGATGTCCGTGGCGGCGCTGGCGCGACCGCCACGGCGGCAGCGGTAGCGGTAGCGGCAGATTTTTTGCGAAATCATCGTGGCAGCGGCAGTGGCGCGATAGATTTTTAAAAGTATGGCAGCGGCAACGGCAATTTATCTACTTTGGCTGTCGCGGCGCGGCGCGGCAGCGGTTAAAATTTTCGAAAAATTTCTCCAATTTTTTTCGAATAAATATTAAGACTTGAGATTATAATTCTGTCGTGATTCAGATTAGTGAGCATGTTTTTCTCGATCAACAGACTTTTAAGGCTATTCCCTCAACTAATAGAGAGAGAAATATTAATATTACAATACTGGACAAAATTGTTTGGACGATTTTGTTTTGCATATAACTATCTTATAAAGTTAGCTTTTGAGGCGTGGCTTGCGTGAAAATTACAGGCATCGTCTGTAGTATATCCACAGAAAATTTCATCCATAAATGTTGAGTTATAGTGGAACTGTATATATAACAATGAGCAGTAGTCAATTTCTGTTGGACAATTTTGATTGGACGATGTTTTAAATTGAGTTATTTTTTTCCACAAATGTTCAAAAAGAACTAAATACA